CGATCCATTAGGTTCTAATTTAGCAAGGCAGTGGGAAAACATTAGAACTCTTTCTAACCAACTGGAATTAAAACCCCTTTTTAATTCTTCCTTTATTTTGGATTGATCACAATCAGTCCTAGGACTTCCACAAGCCAAGAGTGACATCTAGCAATATATCATGGCTACCCAAGCTAATTATAATAGATGAAGAACCTATTCAGTTGGAATTGCAATGCAATACGGTCCTTCTCTTGTACAATGTTTCCAATCATATTGTTAGGGTACGGATTGATAATGTCAAACCCCTAATATGATTAAACTCATATGATTCAATAGAACACAATTAAAAACCACTTTCTAAATCATGTTCAAGTACTTCGGCCGAAGATTCACTGAATCATATCTTGAAACATTCTCCTTTCTTTATCAAGGTAGAGATTCCTTATTGTACATTCACATATCTCCATGATGAATTAAGAGATCTCAATAACACATAAGGAAAATCTTTTACGACTTGCCTTTGTGAGTTATCAAAGATCAATAACGCATCACAGGACAACCATGATGCCTCAGGTCTAAGGACTAATTTGCATTATTGCAACTATGAGTTCTCGTTTGACATATAGATAAATACTCCATACGAGAACTCCGGTTGATCGCGTTCAGTGTACTCATTCACTAATGAGCACCCACATACTTGTATTAGTGTCAACTACACAAATGGTTTGAGACCAACCATCCTCATTATTGAGCATACATAGTATGTGCCAATCTTGACGGTTTATCAATGCCCATTTGATAACCTTATGATTAGGAACATTTTGGGATACTACAGTTAGAGATTAAAGGTCTCCCGAATCTAAACTTCTTTAGATTACTTTATCTCTTATTTAGTACACCCTGGACTTTTGTTTCTTTACACGACATAAAAGATAACAAAATAATATTGCCCTTTATTTATCATATACGAAATGTATTCTAAGGAGATTACATCAAATGTATTGGCTCTTAGGGCACATTTCTTACATCAATATCCATAACCACAGCATATGTTTGAGCCTCTAGTGAACCATAAAAACCTTTTCGTTGATGGAAGCGAGCGAATTGTTCTCGTAGCAAACGAGCCTCAAGAAAATGTTTGGCATATATTCCACTTGCCATAATATCTTTTATTTCGCCAAGCATTCTATTCTTTCATAAATTTCACCCATCTTTTAGCCATCATCATCAGCAAATTTTACCACCAGATAAATTGACTTTGTGAAATCTAATGTTGCCTCAGTATGTGCCCAAAAATTATCATCTTGCATGGTATTTTGAACGAGAGTAGCTAAATTCCTTTTGCCTTTATCTAAATTTTTCAACAAATCTTTCCATACTCTTTCATTAACAGTAGTTTGTAGTGCTTCTCTACAATCAACTAGCCTCTTTAACAAGATATAATGGGACACGAATATTGTTTTAGCTATTTTCAGTAACTCCAAATGTGACACACTTTTAAAAATTTCCAAAGCTTGTATGTGGTTTATAAAAAAATTGACAATTGACTTTCAGATTTATAAATATTTGTGTTGTGTAAGCTAGGAGTCAAACCCATGTCTCTTACTTGGAGGCAATTGTCCTATTCGTTGAACTACAAACACAACTTATCAATTAACATCATTAAATAAAAAAACATAAAACTGTCTTGTTACTAAATAAAATAAAAAATAAAATAAAACCAAATAGAATCAAGTGAGTTACCAATCCCATGCAACGGCCCCAAAAACTTGTTGCATAAATTCAACTGCGCCAAGATCAATTCAACTGCATCCTCAACTTGTGATACTCACAAGTGCATGAGCCGTTGATAGTTTAGCATATGTAAATGCGAGGTCGGTCCCATCAGGATTGGTGATTGAATGATCCAATTCAATTTCCCTACACAAAACAAAAATAAAAACAAAAGAACATAAAACAAGAAAGAAAGAAAAGAACTAAGACAAGATGGTGAGGTTTTAGGGTCCATCCTAATTGTTCTAATCATGTTATGGCAACAAGTAAACAAATTGATTCACTCATGACGATATTCACAAATATGTCCATGGTGTTTGGATCAGATTGCATTGAACATCACAAGGACCCCAAAGCATGGTGTTTACATTAGGAGTCCTAGAAACCAAATCACATGAACCATTTATATGCAGTTCATGAGTTGCTAGTGGAAGGAATGATGATATGATGGTCCCCAAACCTTCCTAACAAGAGTAGAATGTATAAAACCTAAGGTGATCAATCAAAGGATGCAAAGTAGTTCTATTAAAACAGTGAAGAAAAATTAATGAATGAAATCAAACTTTATAAACTCAAACCATGATACAAGACCAGCAAGATGTTTATTAAAACTAATGACAGAAAGACAAAGTAAATCTAAAGAAATACAAGAAGAAAATAAAAGGCAAAGGGGGAAGTAAAAGATAGGGAAAGCATGCTAGAGATGGATATGCTTCATCTCCATGGCTACCAAGAGGCCAAAGCCTTCCAGCTGGTACCTTCTCTCTTCTCTCCCTTTGAGATTCTCAACTCTCCCTTTGAGACTCTCAACTCTCTCTTTGAGACTTTCAACTCTCCCTTTTGTGTACAATGTAATGAAAGGTATTTTAGAATGAGGAATTATCAATGAATGAGTCTCAGCTCTTTGGGGACTCTCTATTTATAGGCACATGGGTTAGTTGAAATCTGATCTTACAATTGAGTCCACCAACCACACCTACTTGACCTAACACACAATTGCATTTGAAATTAGTTTCTCTTCTCTTTAGGGTTAGTGCTACAACTCCCACTTCATCTTCTTTTATTTCTTTTGATTGCTGGAAAGCTCCACTTCAATTATAAGTAATGAATCTGCTTCACCTAACTTCCCCACCATCAGCAACAGCTCATGCTTAGGTCAGAATTACCAAGCAACAATTAGCTCATGCTTAGGTCAAAATGACCAACAATTTCGTGGGCTCATAACTTGGGCTTCACTTCAGCAAATGACGACTTTGAGCCCTCCAACTTGAAGTCCAGAATGTCATCTTTCCAACCACATGTCATTTGGGCCAATCCAAGGTCAGATGAAGATGTTAAGCCCGAAACAAGTTGCTAACTACTTCAGGTTTGCACGTTCTTTGCACCATTTTGCATCTTCTTATATCCAATGCCTCCAATGGTACTTAGAGCTCAATTAACTGAATAACAAACACAAAAGAGATTAAAGGCACAAGTTTAACTCAAAAACATAATCAAATCATATGTTATAAGGGTATAAAATGATATACAATTATGCAGTGATCACCTACTCACTTTTGATTAGGATCATTTTAATTTTATGAGAGGATTATTTAACTGTGGTACGTAAAGTCTTATTTTCTAACCGTATTGGCATCATGTTCATTCCTACTCTTATCTTGGATGAGGGTCTTTTATACATGGATAATGCTTCCCTCCTTGCCCATAATGAGGATTCTTACTGGTCTCCTTGGCTTTGTAACCCTGCTGAGATTCGAATTGAATCAGCTTAGCAAAGAGAATTTGCTTGAATTAATAATTAAATGGTATGTTAGGAATAATGGTGGGTGGAAATATGAGATTATGTTTTTCTAAATTTACATGGTGGATGAGAAGATAAAGTGGGTTGGAAAATAGGACATTGGGTGGAAATAGCAACACTCTTAATTAATTATGATTTGATTTGATTTGATTTTTTTTGCCAAAAATTATGATTGATTTAATATTCATATAAAAGTAAATTAATATTAATTATGGTTGTATTTAATTAATTATGATTTTATTTAATTTATTATTAGTGCCCTTTTTTATAGGGCTATATAAGCTCCATTCATGATCATGAACATTCTTGACCCTTGGGTAGGGTCTGGGCTTAGCCTATTTAAGATAGGGTGGATTCGACCCAGCCCATTCAATCTTTAAGGCTATGCATAATTGAGTAGGGCTTGGACCCCTTTCTTATAATACATTTAGGCATATGTGGGTTAGAATAGTTGAGCATAGAGAGTGTCCCTAAATATAAGAAAAATGAAAGAACAAAAAAAAATTTATTTTCACTCAAGTTCGAGTCCCTTTCTTTCTAGATTAAATTAATTTATAATAATTTAGACTATCCCTTATATATAAAAAAATATATAATATATATTTCACTTGTATATAAAAAAAATTATAATATATATTTCAATTCTAATTTTCTTATATTTTTATTAACATTGATATTTAGTACCTTAACTATCAGCTGCAAATCACAACAAAATTTTAATCAAGGTGGAAAATAACTCCTTTTGTTTTCTTTTTATAAAGTCACAAAAGACCTATAATCAGAGTATTACTAAGGGTATAGACAAATGAGTAGGCAAACCATGTTTGATGCGCCACATAAGCCCTTTTCTTCTCCAAGGGAATAAGTAAATGACTAGGTAAAATATACATACTCTCCCTAATGGGTTTGAACTCGGTTGTGGGTGGGCACACTGCCTTGCCCAACTAGACTAACCCACATATGCATTCTCCCATTATTTTTTATGTAGTAGTAAAAGATAATATAAGAGATGAAAGTAAATAATATAATAATAGTTAATACAATTAAATTGCTTAGTCTATTAGAGTGATCAATTTTTCAATATGACAAATGAATACGCAACATGCCATATAAGTTCGTATAGCACATATTTGCCGACTTCATTCACATATCCCTTAGACGATATTGGCATATTGCTGTAAATTGTTTTGACAAAATGAAAACTTGGTATTAAATCCGCTGCTTTTGATTACGACACCCACAAAGATTTTTGTTCTAATGTCAGATTGTAGTTAGGGGAAGGTCGGTCAAAACCTACAGAACGGAGAGGTAGCAGTATCAAATCAGCGTCAATTCCGTTTAATTTTGACTCACCTCTCTCTCTCTCTTCTGAAATCGGAAAATAAAAACTTTCATTTGTAGTAGAAAATGTAAATTGTATACAATAATCAACGCAAGCCCGTCGTCACGCTTTTGGCTTTTCGCTTTTTGGCCCCCACTGCGTTCTCACCCAAACACGCCCTTTCTTTCTTTTATTTTCTTCGTTTTACATCTAAATTTCTCTCATTCATTCATTCCTTTCCTTCCATATTTGACCCACTTGCACAACTCATTCTGCAAATTGCTAATTTACTAAATTGCCAGGGTTTCTTCCCGCACCACCTTTCTCCTTGTTTGTCTTGTTTCTTTGCTGCTGATAGAAAGCTCAAAGAGGAAAAAAGATCCAGGTTGACTCTTCTTTGCCGTATCACTTCCTCAAGTCAAGGCGTAATTTTCTATTCCCTCTCTTCTTACTTTTCTACGTTTCTTTGCGTTTACTCTTTGTCTTGTGAACCATTTGAAGAATTTTCTAGGTGGGTTTTCTTCTTTACCCAAAAGGAAAAAAAAACTAAAATTTGTAGGTGGGTTTTGGAGTTTTTGAAATTGGGTTTTCTTTGTGGTATGCTTGTGGTTCAATTACAGTAAGATATTTGTTCTGTTTGCTTGAATTGTTTTTTTGGGTTTTTATTTTTTATTTTTGGGTTAAAGCTACAGGGAGATTTAAGATTTGTGGTTTTGTTATTACAGGAATCTGTCTGAGCTTGGAACTTTTGCCTGGTTTCTGAAGCTAATTGTATCTGCGGCTTTTGTGTTGGACTGTGAGGGCAGCTTTTGTGCTTTTCGATTTGTTTGAATTGGTTGCATTTTCTAAGATTGTTGCGTTCAATACTTATCACTGAACAAAACTGGGGTTGTTTTGAGCTTGGTTTGTGAGTTTTTGGGTATCCTTTGAAGCTTTGGAATGGTTTGACTTTGTGGGTACTTAGCAGAAGTACATATATTTCGTTTGGTGAAGTTGTATTTGAGATTCAAGGAGTTGGAAAGTTGTATTTGAGCTTTCTGTTGAAGTACTGGGCAATTGTTTTGAAGCTTATGCGAATGGCTTGACTTTGTGGGACATTGGCGAAAGTTAATTGGTTGGTGGTGTGAGTTTGTTTGTGTTTTCCTCAAAATGGATAACTCCGCAAACAGGCATAATGATCATTTGGGTGTGAACAAAATTGGGAAAAATATAAGGAAGAGTCCATTGCACCAACCCAATTTTGCTAATAATGCCGCTAGGCAACAGCCTCAGCCTCAGGTATACAACATAAGCAAGAATGATTTCCGCAACATTGTTCAGCAGCTTACTGGTTCGCCATCACAAGAACCTTTGCCTAGACCTCCTCAGAATCCGCCAAAACCCCAAAGTATGCGGTTGCAGAGAATTCGGCCTCCTCCATTAACACCTATCAATAATAGACCAGTAATCCCACCTCCAGCACCTCATCCTTCAGCCCCACCGCCGGTTCCATACAATAATAACTTCATGAGGCCTCAGTTTGGACAACCATCACCTACACTGATGCCGCCATTTCCACATGGAGACTCAATGTGGGCAAATACAGCTGAGTCTCCTATCTCAGCATATATGAGGTACCTTCAAAGTTCGATGCTGGATCCAACTCCAAGGGGAAACCAAGCGCAGCCACAACCACAAGGGCCAGGTCAAAGTCAGTCTCAGGCACCATCGACTGGTTTACTTCCTAACCCTTCCATGCCTGCTCACCCGCCCCCAAGAATGAATGGTCCTGTACCACCTGCGCCTAATCTACCACACCCACCAGTGAATGGTCCTGCCCTCTTACCCTCACCAACTTCACAGTTCTTATTGCCATCCCCAACAGGTTACATGAACCTGTTGTCCCCAAGGTCACCTTATCCATTGCTTTCACCTGGGATGCAGTTTCCTCCACCACTGACCCCCAATTTTCAGTTTTCACCCATGGCCCAATCAGGGATATTAGGTCCAGGGCCTCAACCTCCACCCTCTCCGGGTTATTTATTTCCATTATCTCCTTCGGGGTTTTTCCCCATTTCAAGTCCAAGATGGAGGGACCAATAGTTGTCTCACCATTGTTATGTATGTCAGTTCCATGCTTTCTCCTGAGGTCTGTCTTTATGTGGACTCTCATCTACTTCTTCATTTGTGAAAACAGTGTTGTATACTGGTAGTGTAAGTGGCCCTTTGGGCTACCTCTAGTGTTCAGCTTTCATTTTTTATCTTTCTTTCGTTGATACCCACTCTACATCTTTTTTGATTCTTGAATCCTGTATCAGCTGCTATCTTTTTTATTTATTTTTGTTTTCAACAAGTTCAATTTAGGCAATATAGTGAAGATCAACAATGCAATGGGAAGATTGGACAGGAGCTGTAATTTGAAAGACTGGAAAGATGGAGCTATAACATGAAAGGAGGTAGGACACTTGAAACTTACTATGTAGGGTCTATAGTGGAAGAGTTCTTGTAATTTTGTGATATTTGAATTAAACTGTAGTTTGATGATGTTAACTCTTCTTAAGTTAGCTGGCATGCGAAATGAATTTTCGTATTAGTGATTATAGTTTTGTTGTACCTAGATTTGTTCAAGGAAGAATTTCTTGTTTGACCAACTCATTATTTGAATAATGCTACTAGTTCATTGTTTTTCTGCTTTAAATTTAAACATTGTAATGATGTGTTGGGATGAAGTAATTCTAGTTTCTCATGTTTGTGAAAGAAAATGAAATTGAGAAACTACAACCCAGATTTCTATATATAATGCCAAGATTATTTACCTAGATAATGAATTTCTGACGCATGTGACTTGCTAATTTCCTTTTTTGAAAGAAATAGTACGAGAAAGAAGAAATATAATTTAATTCTTACGAGATTCATGTATGTTGAGGGAATGCATTTAACATCTACCAGCATTCTTCTCTTCAACTATCTTCATCTTAGCATTTTTCCTTTTGTTTAAGCATTAGACTTCCTGGCATTATTATTGTACTTACTGGTAAAAATGACTCTTCTCCTCACAAGTGGCGTTGTGGGCGGGGAAGTATTTTTATGTACATTCCAACTTAGTGGTGCTACTGTATTTGCAGCCATTCAATGTCTTTCAACTCTTGCTCCATTTTTCTTTCGCTTTTACACTTGGATGTGGATAGGATAGGGTTTCAGCTATTTTTCATTGCAAGATTGGGTGCCTGTGTTCCTGTATATCCCTATTTCTTATGATCTGGCTGTTGGGTGATCAGATGAAGTTTTGAGTGGTGGACCTTATTTACACCTTTAGTTATGGTAAGAATAACATGGCCGTGCATTTTTCGAATTGTGCATAGAGTTCTTGTAATTATTAGAATTGAGTATGTTATATAGTAAAAGGAGGACCTTACTAGCAATTGTGTCTTATTAGCATGATCAAAACCAAGGGTGAGATATGGGTTAGAGATATGAGATTGACTAAGAATCCTCACATCTTGTTTCTGTACTGCTTGACGTTCCTAACCTTTAGGGTTTTTCTCATTGAGGAAATTTATGGAGCAGATCAAGTCTGAATAGTTATGGTATTGTTTAGAAGGGAAAGATGAGTTGCTGCACTTAGAATTGATCTAGGCTGATTAAATGATTTAGGGCCCGGGGCGTAACCGTTGATACTTTTATTTACATAGGACATCCGTATGAAGATTGCTCTAGATAGTAGAAGATGAAATATGAATGCATTCTTGTAGAAAGGAAACTGGCTATGCCCTATCAAGTATAGGGCACAGCCATTTTCCTTGCTATGCCTTATCAAGCATATGTTGGATTTGTAATTTTGATCCTGTTACATAATGAAGATGAGGGATGGCATAGGAAAGGATGCCCTAGCATTTGTGGCTTATCAGTAACCTGATCATGACCCAAAAGCCATATATCCTTAGGGTTAAGGGTAAGATGTGAGATTTAACCATGAATCCTCGCATCTTGGTTCTTAATGCTTGCTTCTAACCTTGAAGTTTTTTTAAAAAAAAATTGTAAAAAAAAAAAATTGTAATTTTTTTTTATGCAAACAATATTACGGGAGAATGAATAGAGCACAGACCCTCATATTCATAGGCAAATACCTTTAATCGCTTGAGCTACAAATTGTCTTGTTTTTAACCTTTAGGCGTTGCTCTTTGAGGAAAGAGAAGATTTGAGACTACTAAATTTAACTTGGGTTATAGGAAATTCAAGCCCTTTTTATAATAATAAAAAATTGTTTTATTTTTAGTTTTATACAAGCAATATTGGAGGAATGAGGTTTTCTCACACACTATCAAGATGTTATAAGAGTTTTCCCACCAGTAATCTAGAAGTCAAGGCCTCTTTCACCGGACTAAACCCTGTTGGCAAGCATTTTTTTTCTTAATCATGGGAAAAAGGGGGAGTGGAGGAGAAGCTAAATATAGCAGACGTATGCATTTCTTACCAATTTGTCCATCCCCGGGTATTGCTTTAGCATAGAAAATATAACAATAATTGCTCAAAACTCCTTTGCTCATGTCTTCTCAACTCAACACGCTTAAGTGAGAAGAAGAGTACATAAAATAGTCCAAAAAAATAAAAACTTAGACTGATTGCCTGATGGTTTGTTATTTTCTATACACTATCTTTATTATTTCCTATCATAAATTCATTCATCATCTCTCTCCCTTTATTTTATATTTATAATTATAAATAATAAATAATAAATAATAAATAAATGTTGTCAAATATCATTACGTGGATGATTTTACACTTGTTAATATTCTCATGTATTTATCTAAGATCTTTGTGTAATTGGAGACTTATGAGCTTATCTCTAATCAATACATGAGAATATTAATATTAATTGGATACATGAGAATATTTATTGGATATTAATTGGATCAATACTGCCATTACCTAGTTTATTGTTATTTATTTAAGACTAGCCTCTCTGCACGCGCTTCCGCGCCTGCGAGAGGTTTTTTTTAAAAAAAATTTATTTTATTTTATAATTAAAAAAGATAATGGGTAGTTGTGTTCCATAAAAATAGGATCCATTATCTGATTTTTATTTTTATTTTAATTTTTTTAAATATGAAAAAGTGTGAATTTACCATATTATCCTCATTTAATTAATAATTTCAATTCTTAATGTTTGCATTAACCAAGGGCATTTTCTGGTATTTTGAATGTTTCACCATTCTCTGCCTTTTGCTTTATATATATAGATAATATCTTGGTGTAATTGGAGACTTATCTCTAATTGAAAAAAAAAAATATATTAATAGCCACAGAAAAAATTTGCAGTCAATTAATTTGATATTGATCGTGGGACATTACTTGTGAGGAGTAGCAAAGTGAATACGTGTTCACAATTTTTGTATTATTTCCTTTTTTGCTCAAAAAACATTTTTACACTTTTTTTTTTATATGAACGATATTATACTTTAATCTAATCTAAATTATAAAAAAGAGAATTCGAACTCGAGTGCATAGTGGAAAACACATCGAACACATCTGCTCTAATCAACTTAACTAATCCACTTCCAGCTCAACAATTTAGACTAACATAATAACAATAATAATTGAGACACATGGCCGTTGCCGTTTCGTTGGCTCTCATCTTTTTATACGAACGATATTATACTTTAATCTAATCTAAATTACAAGAAATGAGATTCAAACACGAGTGCAGAGTGAAGTACACATCGAGCACATCTGCTCTAGTCAACTTAACTAATCCACTACCGCTCAACAATTTAGACTAACATAATAACAATAATAATTCAGCCACATGGCCGTTGCTGTTTCGTTGGTTCTCATCACATCATACCATAATGTGTTTTTTTTTTTCCCTGGTAGCATCATCATAGTGTATATGGTATTGTAAGATACACCTAACATATCCATCAATTCGGATACGTTCCGGTCCCATGCCTCAGCCTGACATCGAGACCGTTGACTCTGTCTATAAATTGCCAGTAAAAAATTTCAGTGTGAAAGGGTGTGCATAATCTCCAAGGGCACACACCCCACCACCACCACCAACCAAGATACCAAATTATACGATACAGCATTGACTCTCATAATAAAGGTATCGGTTTTCATGCTTGTGTTCAGATTTGTACAGTTTTCATGTCCATTATAATAACGCTCTACTCTTATAATGGTCCTAGAAAAAAAATACATGTAGACACTTCCATGTTCTCGGGTCAGTGTGAGCGTTATTCTCTGTCTATCGCTCTCCTCACGCATCATGTCTTTCTCCGTCTTCGATCTTATGTATGGTCTAAATTGTAAAACCCCCACACAAAAAAAGGGATGGGGGGGCCCTAGACTTATGTTACTCCCAATAGTTGAATGCCCTTTTTTTTCGATCTTAAGCTGAAAACGGAAAAGAGGGTATAAGGTCCTACTATAAATGGACCTCTCCTTTCAACAGTATTGTTAATCTTCCATATCTGGACCCCTACTGCAGTACTCTCTCTCTCTCTCTCTCTCTCTCTCTCTCTCTCTCTCTCTCTCTCTGTGGACAGACCCTCTCTAACCTTACTCTCTACCTAACAAGGTTTCCTAGGAAGATTTTAAAGAGGGCACTGTTATCGTGCCTCTCTACTGTATTGTGCCGCTCTATATACGTCTTTCGGTTCTATGAATCAAGTCTTCTTCTCAAAAAACAATACATATACATTTGAGAATTTCAAAGGGGTTTAAATCAAAAGGAGATAAAATGGCAAATTTTAGAGTGACTCAATTCCATTTTTCTTTACCGTTTGAAATAAAAAGGAGAAAAAGAAGAAATGGGTTTCTTTTTCTTCCCATGTATCATTATTATTATTATCATTATATTTGAAATAAAAAATAAAAAAAATAAAAGAATTGTATTTCTCAATGGCATCACATGCAAACTCAATCACAAGTGACAATGACTGGAGACCAATGGTCAGAGAAGTAAGTAATGCTTTCAACTGCCAACATGCAAATTGCTAGCTCTCATCAATGAATACTCTTGGTCAAATAGTTTTGAATTTGAGTAATTTCTGTTTTGTTTTTGCAAAGATGATATTCGGAGTGCTTAAAAAATAGACGATTTAGATTATTAAAATACAATACGGAATAAACCTTATAAGGATGTCCCTAAAATAAAATGCTTCAAGAATAGAAAGCCCTAAGAAAAAACACATTTGGGTTCGAATTTAGCTGGTATTACACTACGAGTTTAGCCGATATAGCGCTATGAGTCTCTTCGAATTTGCCTCGAGAGGATGTTGAGTGATAGTAATGCTTCTTTGTTTATGTGTAGTACTTTTCAAAATCGATATAGATTAATGAATCGGGAATTCTAGTCACTTTGTATATCGATTCAACTTGTTATTGCATTTGGATATGGAGAAAATTTATCTATAGTTCTTTGTACTGGTGTTTTCTCATCAATAATTATTATGTTTATTCTTAAAACATATTAAAACATTTAATTGGAACAAAGTATGATGGGGCATTGTGATTTGTGATGAGAATTCGAAGGACAAAAAGCCCCATTTATCGCGATTAGATTCTTACATAAAGTCAAAAGCATAGATTCCATTTTCTTTAATGCTCATTTATAGGGTGGGATTAAACTAGGCACTAGGAGGTGACCCACTCATCCGTTGCCCTTTGGTTTGGTCCTTTTTTCGATCTTAAGCTGAAAACGGAAAAGAGGGTATAAGGTCCTACTATAAATGGACCTCTCCTTTCAACAGTATTGTTAATCTTCCATATCTGGACCCCTACTGCAGTACTCTCTCTCTCTCTCTCTCTCTCTCTCTCTCTCTGTGGACAGACCCTCTCTAACCTTACTCTCTACCTAACAAGGTTTCCTAGGAAGATTTTAAAGAGGGCACTGTTATCGTGCCTCTCTACTGTATTGTGCCGCTCTATATACGTCTTTCGGTTCTATGAATCAAGTCTTCTTCTCAAAAAACAATACATATACATTTGAGAATTTCAAAGGGGTTTAAATCAAAAGGAGATAAAATGGCAAATTTTAGAGTGACTCAATTCCATTTTTCTTTACCGTTTGAAATAAAAAGGAGAAAAAGAAGAAATGGGTTTCTTTTTCTTCCCATGTATCATTATTATTATTATCATTATATTTGAAATAAAAAATAAAAAAAATAAAAGAATTGTATTTCTCAATGGCATCACATGCAAACTCAATCACAAGTGACAATGACTGGAGACCAATGGTCAGAGAAGTAAGTAATGCTTTCAACTGCCAACATGCAAATTGCTAGCTCTCATCAATGAATACTCTTGCCACCACCAGTGACCAGTACAATGAACCTTTCACCTGCTGCTGTTGCTGTACTCTTTTCTTTCTTTTCTTTCTTTTTCTTTCTTTTCTGTTTGGTAAAACTATAAATAATTAATTACTATTCAGTTACATTTTGATAAATTTACTGGTCTATCCTAGGGGTTGATATAGATACATTGAATCTGATAAATTGCTAAGAACTACAAATAATATATATATTAGACAGTCACCTTGTGGAATTCCCCAACCAATCTCATTTGAGGTACACCTTATGTGGTTCACAATAAATAAATAAATAAATAAAAATAAAATCTCAACATGTACGGCAAGAGCGCCGCGACCTAGAAAAATTTGGGCTCTCCATATCCAACGCCGCATCTCCTCCTTGTGGGGGAGTAGGCGGAACTAGGTAGAGGGCTACCATGGGCTCTAGCCTAGGTAGCCTTTTTATAAAATTAAAATATATTACATGTATTTTAATGTTATACATCCCACAAAAACTTAGTAGCTCACTCAAATGTAGCCTTGTAACCCATTGTCCACTCAATTTTGTAGGCCTATAATCATCTTATATTTAATTTGTTTGCTCAATTAAGAAACATAATCTCTTAATAAAACATTCATTATTTTAACTCTCAACCTTTTACTATTTTATCCCAATGTGTACTTTTATTTTTAGAAAAACTATAGAAACAGTAAGTATCGAAACAAAACTCCATAGATTTTAAGCTAATAGCTTTAGCTAGCCCACCCATTGAAAAATTTTTGGTTCCGCTCTCAGGAGAAGGTCTCTACCCCTCTCCCTATCTCTCTTCCCTGGTTTTTTATTTTCTTTCGCAGTTCATGCTCGAGCTTTCCTGCTCGTTTTTGGGGCTTCATGCTTCTAGGCTTCTTGCCTCTTTGGTGGGGCTTCTTGCCTCTTTGGTGGGGCTTCTTGCCTCTTTGTTGGGGCTTTATGCCTCTTTGTTGGGGCTTCATGTCTCCTATCCTTATTTTTCCCCCAAATCTCTGCCATTCCATTCCACTCAGTGTTATCCCTTGGTTGTTCTCCAATCGGTTCTTACTTTCCCTTATTGTAGCAGATAACCCGCAAAGTGATTTCTCGCAATTATCTTGGAAGGTGTGTAGAGCCACAACACTGCTACGGCTCGGGTGCTTGCACCACCTTCTTCTTGTCCTGATGGTTCTATTTGTTTTGCCTTGAGTGTTGTTGGTTTATGGTGGCTGTTTGGTAGTGCTTGTGCTTTTCTATGGTTTTTGTTGCTATGTTATTTTTAATTTTGTTAGTTTTTATCAGTTTTTAGTTTTGTTTATCTATTGATATAATTATTTGGGGTAGTACTTTGCTCCTATTCATCTGATATTGCAAATTAGATTTGTGTTTCCTTGTATTGATGTATTTGCACCGTCCTCTTGGGTGAGATTTTTAGTAATCCCTAAGAAAAAACACATTTGGGTTCGAATTTAGCTGGTATTACACTACGAGTTTAGCCGATATAGCGCTATGAGTCTCTTCGAATTTGCCTCGAGAGGATGTTGAGTGATAGTAATGCTTCTTTGTTTATGTGTAGTACTTTTCAAAATCGATATAGATTAATGAATCGGGAATTCTAGTCACTCTGTAGATCGATTCAACTTTTGATTGCATTTGGATATGGATATGGAGAAAATTTATCTATAGTTCTTTGTACTGGTGTTTTCTCATCAATAATTATTATGTTTATTCTTCAAACATATTAAAACATTTAATTGGAACAAAGTATGATGGGGCATTGTGATTTGTGATGAGAATTCGAAGGACAAAAAGCCCCATTTATCGCGATTAGATTCTTACATAAAGTCAAAAGCATAGATTCCATTTTCTTTAATGCTCATTTATAGGGTGGGATTAAACTAGGCACTAGGAGGTGACCCACTCATCCGTTGCCCTTTGGTTTGGTCCTAACTTCTAACTTGCACTCAACAAAATGCAGAGATTACAATTGTCCACTCAATTTTGTAGGCCTATAATCATCTTATATTTAATTTGTTTGCTCAATTAAGAAACATAATCTCTTAATAAAACATTCATTATTTTAACTCTCAACCTTTTACTATTTTATCCCAATGTGTACTTTTATTTTTAGAAAAACTATAGAAACAGTAAGTATCGAAACAAAACTCCATAGATTTTAAGCTAATAGCTTTAGCTAGCCCACCCATTGAAAATTTTTTGGTTCCGCTCTCAGGAGAAGGTCTCTACCCCTCTCCCTATCTCTCTTCCCTGGTTTTTTATTTTCTTTCGCAGTTCATGCTCGAGCTTTCCTGCTCGTTTTTGGGGCTTCATGCTTCTAGGCTTCTTGCCTCTTTGGTGGGGCTTCTTGCCTCTTTGGTGGGGCTTCTTGCCTCTTTGTTGGGGCTTTATGCCTCTTTGTTGGGGCTTCATGTCTCCTATCCTTATTTTTCCCCCAAATCTCTGCCATTCCATTCCACTCAGTGTTATCCCTTGGTTGTTCTCCAATCGGTTCTTACTTTCCCTTATTGTAGCAGATAACCCGCAAAGTGATTTCTCGCAATTATCTTGGAAGGTGTGTAGAGCCACAACACTGCTACGGCTCGGGTGCTTGCACCACCTTCTTCTTGTCCTGATGGTTCTATTTGTTTTGCCTTGAGTGTTGTTGGTTTATGGTGGCTGTTTGGTAGTGCTTGTGCTTTTCTATGGTTTTTGTTGCTATGTTATTTTTAATTTTGTTAGTTTTTATCAGTTTTTAGTTTTGTTTATCTATTGATATAATTATTTGGGGTAGTACTTTGCTCCTATTCATCTGATATTGCAAATTAGATTTGTGTTTCCTTGTATTGATGTATTTGCAGTCGTCGTCAAGCAAGTCGAGCCGCTCCGTGCTGGTGGCCGCCGGTAGCCCGGAGATGACATTGACGTCCCTCGTGCACCCTGCGGTCATTTTAAACCCCTCCTTGACCGTACAGCTCCGGATGAAGTGCTTGTAGGTCTGGGGCTTGTCGAAGCGGCGCACCACCGACCACACCGCGTCGAGCGGAGCGTACACGCGCTGCGCGAGTAGGGAAGAGCATTTTCCGGGACCCACCGGGTACTTGTGGAACTCGGCCACGATCCGCTTCAAGTCATCGAACTCATCCTGAGTCAACCCGGCGGGAATCGTGAGGTGGTGCTGGGTTGTCTCCTCCGCGTCTTTCTCGGCCGCTGAGCCCTCGCCTTTCTCCATTACGAGTCTCCGATAGAGAGAAAAGAAAGAGCTTATGAGGGGATGCACTTTCGTTTATTTGGGATGGGGATTTTGTAGGATGGCAGGGGTGAAACGGTAAATGTGTTTGTTTATTAAATTGAAAGGGTTAATTTGGGAATTTTAAAAAAATAGGTTTTTAAAAAGGTGTATGGGAAAGGTGTCAACTTGTTGATGCGGACAGATGGGTTCTTCTTGGTTGCTTGCTTGACAGTTCTATCTGGCTAAGCTCTGCAAGCCGAGCTAATTGCACGTCTTTTATTTTTTCTGTAAAATAATTTCATAAAGAAAAAATAATATAAAAACTATACATAATACGACAAGATTCAGATATGGCTTTACCCAAAGAAGAAAGAGAAGACAATGCGGCAAATTATTATATATAATAAAGTGACAGAGGTCGAGATTAATTATTGTATAGGTTATAGCGCATGGGATTGGTCAATTTGTTTAAATATTTGAACCACTACAAGATAATAATGGAAATTCAGTAATGCTTTCCTTTCACAAGAAGTAGAATGCAAGTATAATGAATCGTACATTATGGGCATTGTATAAGTTAGTTTATATAGGTTTAAAAAAAAAGGGAAATACAGTCACTCTTCATCCTTGTAGTTTCCCGAAGTTTTTATTTTGGTATCTATGAATTCAATTTTGACAATTTAACCACTAGTTTGATACTTATTGCAATTTGAAGATACGTTCAATTTCGCGATTAAGTAAGCGCGTGCCCTTTAAGTGGACATGTATTTTTTGTCAACCACAACCACAACGGGATGAGCCACTTCTTCAACCTCTGAATTGAAATTTTTGCACCCTATACTTGTCCTCACTCTAAATCTTATATAAATTGATAGAAATCTTAACCCCAAAATCAAAACTTTCGATGAGCACGAAGGTAGATGGCACAAGTAGACAAAAACACATGAGTGCTTACTACATCATAGAATTGGACAAAAATTTAGACATCAAACTAGATGGGTCAAATCGTTATAGTTTAAACTACAAGGATCAAAATGAAAGATTTGGTAAAATACAGGGACAAAAAATGACTTTTCTCCAAAGAATGAGAGTGACTTAAAAGATCAAGACATGTAAAAAGGAAAAAAGAGTGAGTTAATTGGGAAATCAAATTTAGTGTTTAATGCTGCCTTTTCGAATGGATGTGTAAACTCAATTTTCCAAAAACAATCAAACAAGAACATGTGTACAAAATAAAATTGTATTAATTTATTAAGTGTGTCGGTTAAACGCTCTATGATTTATTATTTACTTGGATATCACTTTTTTTTTTTTTAGGTGAGACCCAAGGGTATCCACCGCCGACAGTAGTGACTAATCCCTTTCGCCGCGGGAGCTCTCCCAATGGAGGTAAACGGCTGGCCACAAAATGCGCTCCATTCCCATGGGCGGGGATCGAACCCCCAACCTCATGGTTAAGGAATGAGGTGAGCTACCACCACACCACATCTCATGGTTTACTTGGATATCACTTTGATTCAATCTATCTGATGAGTTTCATCCAGGTGTGTCGAGTACTTGTTTTTGAACGGGATGATTAAGTCTTCAGATATACTTGAGTCGTCAAATTTGAAGAAGTGGTTTGGTTAATGGCCATCAAGGCTTAATTCTTGAACAAACTGGAACAATGAGGATTGTCATGTGGGGGATAATCTTCGGTTTTGGTAGTGGCGGAATCGACACATCTTTTTTATGCTTTGTGATTCTTCCAGTGCTTAATGAAGCTGCACTAACAACTACTATAGCCCACATGATAAGGAACAACCATGATAAGGAACAATTGGGTGTTTTGCAGCAAACTCTGTTACATACGATGTATAGCTAAATTCAGAGAAGATGAGCACTGTTAGAGAGCAGGTTCTGAGAAAATGATTTGATTGAAGACATATCCCAAAAGAACTGATGGGGAATTTCGATATGAGCATCTTATGATCATCTTATTCAACTTATTTACTAACCCAAATAGAAAAAGGAAAGAAGAGATGAGGGAGATGAGGTACAGTGACGCTTCCTCCTCCTCTCCTTATGTGAAGTTTTTCTTTAGCACCCACAGAGAGTTATTTCATTATTCTTCTTTCTGATTCGTTGGTTATTAGACACATAAAATCTCGAGTTCTTATTATTTTGAATCCCGACTCTGATAGTGATTCAAGGTCTTCAGATTTAGTAAAGAAAAAAAAATCAACATTGATTGGTCTGAAATCAGATTATTCGACACATATGATTCATTCATTCTACAAGTCCAGTAGCTCAACACAAAAAGAGGTAAGATTAACTCTAATATGAAAAGAAAAGAAAAACTCCGTAACTCAAGTCGAAGCTGAGGAAACAGCTATAAGGTTTTTGTTTTTTGTTCAGGTCAGCTGAACTTGACATGTTATTTCATTTGTCTTCGGAGAATTTAATAATCTTAGGTGGTGTTGGAGCTTGCGTGGTTCCCTCTTTGGGAAAGTAAACGTCCATCTCACTTCCCCAGCTAATCCACCTAAGCAAACCATCCCCTTCTAGCTCCCTCTAATCTAAAAATATTTTAAGCAGATATAAGTTAGACTAGTTGATAAGGACAATAAATCATTTTCTTTACACTCAAATTTGAATTTCTTTATATATGCAAATTTATATAAGCGATAAGTCTAATCTACTTGGAAGGGAATTCGAACTTAAATAGAAGGAGGCAGATTTATTGTCTTGACCAATTAACCTAACTCACGTCTACAAAATAAATAAATCTATTTGAACAAACCCTAGTTCAAGCTATTTATATATTCGCCAAAACATGACAAGGCAAATGATTTTTCTTATCGCCATGAAGAATCCAAGTCTTTGGTAGCCACCTTTGCCCACGACTTGTTGCGCCCTCATATATTTAATTTCCCCCACTTTTGGGTTTGTGGTTCTTGTTTATTCCTTTTGCTCTAAACCATCTAAGGGATTGCGAAGAAGATATTTGATTGGTGCAATTTTGTTTAGGCTATGTCCCATTTTGAAGTCATGATGTTGGCTTTTTTGGTTAGTCCTGGATTAATGGTGTTATTTATTAGCACCACATACTCCATTGTACTTAGGCTTCAATGGCTTAGATATGAGTCGAGCCATTCGAGAGGCTAATTATTCTGCCATAGCTGTGTTGACAATAATTGTCATTTTAAAATTCTGGTATTCGAATATATTAAAGCCTGAATTTCACAATGCATTAGATTATATAAAACTATTTGGAGAGGAGGAGCCTAGAAGATTTCCAAGTTTTATAATGCTTTTGTTTTGTAGCAGCTGAAAACTGAAAAACCTAGTAAAAGAAAGAGCCGATTATTTATAACAAGCATAAGTTTCCAAGGAAAATATTTATAAAAAATAAAAAATATTTAAAACAGGTGAAAATAGGGTAAAGAAATAGTAATGGGACTAGCAGCCTAATAATTTCAAGTATGGCCAATTGGAAGGGGTTTTCTTCTTCCCATTTTGGCAAGATTTTTCATCTTTGTTGGTCTGGTTCTTCTTCTTCTTCTTAGTAAGTTGGTTTTGAGCAGAACAAGTAGTTGGAGGCTTCTGGTTTGGGTGCTCTCCATCAGGATGTTCCTGCACAGAAGAAAATAAGCAGACATTATTCCAAGGTCCCATGGGCACTGAATAAGTCTCTGCTGTTCTTTGAATGGAACTGAAAAGTAGTCAATAGGGAAGTAGAATATGTAAGATTGAGATGATCACCTGAAACAAAAGTGAAAGTGTTTTTTTTAGAGAATATTTTGATGTGACCAAAAGGAAAGCTTCATTCATGAACCATTGCACAAAAGACATGGATATGCACAAGGCTTTATGCATGATACAAAATTGTCAGCATCCACAATAAGCCAAGCACTCATATACATATATATGTATATATAAAAATTACATCAGCTTGGTAAACTGCTAAAAGAAAAAACAAAAAATTACATCATGGCTTGGCATGCTTTAGTATGATACTTCCCTGATCTATTTATTATTATTATTTGTTTATACAAGCGATATTGGGGAAGGAGGATTCGAATTTAGGATCTCGGATGCAGGGGTACAAAAGTTCTTAATGTGGTGTTATCACCAGCATTAATTATATATAACTTATTGAGGGTTAAAATTAATTACCTCAATTTCAAGCCTTGAGGCATGGACTTGGGATATTCTTTTATTGTGACCTTGATAGGGATTGGAGGTGAAAGTTGGGAATGAGCAAGATGATTCCCCCTTGGATCCATGGCTCCAATAGGTATTCCCTGATGCTTGTGTAGAAGTGCATGATGAGCTGCTGCTTGAATCCATCTCTAAGCACAACTGAAGCACCACAGGTCAATGATAATTTTTTATTATAATGTTTTTACTATAAAAGCAGGAAATTTAATTGTGTTCTTTATTGATATAGAACTGCATCCACTGAAAAGAGAAACCCATTTTTGTTTTCTTTTCGGCCATCAAATCCATTTTTTTTTTGTTAGGTCACTCCTTTGTTCCAAATGATGGTAGTTGTCTAGTTTCATAATCACAGAGTTTAGACACATTGACATAATTTTTACAAAAAAACAGAGGAAGGAGAGTTACAAAACCTGAAAAAGCCTATGTTCAAGAGCTGCCACTCGATCCAAGAGTGAGCCTTTGAAGTAAGTCTCCTTCAATGCCAAATCCATTGGCAGGCATTGCCCCTTCAATTTTGCGCCACTCGAACCATTGCTACCCAATTTTGCGAACTTTTGTTTTCTTTCCAGATACTTCATCTTTAGGTCACACCCCAAATATTCCAAAAATAAAAAATTAATTAATTAATTAAATAAAAGGGTGAGTAGCAAAGGACAATAATTTCCATGATCTTGCTAATAAACTATAGAAAATTTTAAATAATAATAAAAATAATAATAAGTGCAGAGAAATTGATTAAACTTACAATGAAATCCAAATGATCCAACCTGGACACAAGAGGCATGGATGAATTGTGAGACTGGATTCTTCCATCCATTATAGTTTTTAATATGGACCAAAATTAAAATAAATAAATAAATAAATAGCAAGTAAAAGAGCTTCAGAGTTGTTAAGGAAGGGCAGCTTCGATGAAAGGATGATGATAAAGGAGATGAGCAATGTGTTTCTGCTCTCTTCTGTAGAAGTCTTCTACGCAAAGCCGTTAT